ACGGGGGGGTGATAAAACACTAAGAATTTGGTTTAAGGGATGAAAAGATATATTATAGGAGATGACTTTCAAAGCACCGTTAAGCGGTAAACTCTCCCCTTTACCCCCACATGTGACCCTCACCTGATCTTTTGTATTAGTTCGATACTGGGATCCCTGAATACAATTATTTTTGACTTCATTCAGTTATATTTGTCTTAATTGTTCTCGATGGTAAATAAAATTTTCAAGTTTTTAAAGACATAAATTAAATGAAATAAAGATTATTGAGACCGCACATAATATGTTCAGAATAATAGTCCACTGTTATAATGTGTTAAAAAACCAACATACTTATCTTACATCTATATCATAATCTATATAATATAACAAAGCATAAAACTGTTAAGATTATTGACGGGGAAAACCTATATAAGTTTGTAAAGATATCACCACATTCCTGGTTTCACGTCAAACAAAACAAAATGGTTTTTATATATAATCATTTGTAAAATATGATAATGGTAATAAGACCAGGTATGGAGATGGGATGGAGATCGTGATGTTCAGATTAACAAAACAATGTCTTATTATCTATCGAAACACATGCAGGGGTATAGGAGTAAATTGGACACATTTTTCATTTGCTAATGAAATACTTATAATACATAACTGTGTGTATATCAATTGGCAGTGCTTCATATTACAAAAAACGAAGGTTATGAAGGCACAGTTAACATACCAAAGACATACGTATGATAACATTAGATATGTAGAAAGAAAATAGATTTCTCAGTGAAAAAATTAACTTTATATTATATGATTAATCTTTCACGATACCCATTAAGAGCATTAATTAGGAATTAATATACTCTCCATTTTTAACATTAGTAACTTTAACCATAAGTAAACACTTTTTAACTTAACTTATAACGTTTCGATACAATTACACTCCTAACAGTTTCACAATTCATTTTTTTTTTCAGATTTAAATATAAACACCAGCCTCAAAATCTTGAAGATAACCTACAATTTTATTTAAAAATTCTACAAAAATGAGTCTAAAATCTTTATAAATGGTAAGTATTTATGATTATCATCTAACTACATTATATCCTGTAAAATAATACTCTTATAACATCTTTAAGATACACAATTTTGTCGTGAGATTGGAGTGAAAGAAAACAAATCAATTTGTTATGGTGAAAGCCTTCAAGTTAAAGAGATATTTGTTCTTCAATCCTAGCCTTTGTCAGTTAATGTAAAGAACACAAAGTGGGAAATATTTAGTCGATATTCACCGTATTTTCTGCACGTATTTCAAACTGATAGCATGTTATTGCATTCTTCAATTCAACAAAGAGAATTAGATTTCACTCTGCCGTTAAGATGTGATTTAATGCATGTGATGAGTTGAAATTATCTACGATTTGCTATGTTTTATTTTAGATTAGATGATTTGAAATTAACTTGAGTTATTTAAAGGATAACAAAAGTCACCGTGGAAGTTAAATGGATTATTTTTTGAAGTCTTTGTCTCTTTGGAGCAATGTTAGGGGTGGACAACACATTTAAAATTATCTTTCGTTTTATGATAATAACTTTTAGAAAGTCAATATGTTTATTTATGATAGGAATTAAGTGGTGGTGAATTACCTTGGGGCAAGAACATATACTATTTCTTTTAAACAGGGTTTAGTCGGTTAATAGTCTTCTAAAAATGATACATAAACCATTACAGTTATAAATCTTATTTCAATGTTCATAATTCACGCTCTTTTCTACAATCTTGGCAATGAATAATATCGTGAAATAAACTCTTATACGCCTTTTGATTGTTGAACGTAAGTGGGTTGAAAACTATTTTGAATATGGTGAATAGGAAAAAGTTTCACAATCACAATAGAAATGTATCTGAGATGTATTGGACCACCTGAGCTCACGAATGAAGTCCTGAGAGTTTTGCTCGTGGTGGTTATTGCTGTAGAACAAAACTAATTGCACCTCCTACTACTCGACAGACAAGAAATTTCGATTGAACCATTTGGGATTGAGATGAAAAGCCCGAGGGGTGGAAAAGGATTGTTGACCACCCCGAGGGTTTGTATAGATATGGTGTAGGGATAATTTAGGTTAAGATTATAATTAGTATGACAATCATTAATTATACACTATGATGAAGTAATATAATGTAATAAAGATGGTGTTGCTGTTTCTAGATTTCCTGGCTGATACAATCAATCGCTGTAATCCTGTTATTTCCTATGATCTCCGATATGAAGACAAACAGAATTTCACTTTCCTAGCAGCTCTGTTGTCTCGAATGCATACCAATGCAATGTACATTATTGAAATGGATTCAGTTTCTAAATATCTTGCTGATTCAATGATAGTGATCCATATTTTGTTAATGTAATTTTCATTGTAAAGAACTTTAACTGAATATTACTACTCTTATCATCACAATGTAAATTGACGCAACGTTGTTTATTTTTTTAGATTATTAAGATCCTCCGGCTGATATAACCGATGCTTGAAATCCTGTTAATATGATGGTCTTCAATTCAATGTTATTATCAGATCAGTTATCTCTTCGTCTGGAATTCATTTGATTACCACTATGTAAAACGTTGTTTCAACTAAATTCACAAGTTGATTAAACTATAATATAAAGACATGTGTTCAAAGGCCCATAGATCTTTGTTTTCAAATTAGATTATATTTCATAATAACTGCTTATAAAATACATTGCGATTGAATAATTTCCTATTACCCTCATAAGTATTCATTAGACTTTTAATGGACAAAGTTTTATGCATAAAGAATGATAAACAATAATATGATCACAAGAACGTGATTTACAGACTGAATCGTTTGAATAATTAATCCAAAAGATGTAGACCACTAAATAACAGAACATTCTTGTTGCATTTCTGTTAACCTTTTGTTTCTTATTGCCAATTCAAGAGCTGTAATCTATATTCCCATCATAACCACTGGGATCAAGACCTGCTGGATTTAGTTGGAAATGAATTGGTTCATATTAGCCTACCTTTTTTTTACTTTATTTAAAATTTTTATTGTGGAGAAGTCCTTGAGCCTTCTTCCAATTTTGATTCGAGAAGCACCACGTATGTAAAGAATGTAATGATTACATTTATAATATTAAATGAATAACACTAACAGTATTTGATATTCTATAGCAGACCTATAATAATGGTAATAAATCCCTCCAGTATTATTAAAGCATACTTCTAGATGATATTATAAAGCGACTAGACACGACATGATTAATCAATATGCCTGAATACACTGACCACAGAGTGACACTGCTTGACCTCCCACAAAATAATG